ACTATAATTGTTCTTCACGCGCACATTAACTGAAATTTAAAACTGTTAAAAGAAAAGGCTCAATAAACTATTGCATAGATAGTATTATACAGTGACAGTATCTATGCATCGATATGCCTTTGGCTTTCCTTTGTGCTTTGAACATTTCTGCGTGCTGTGACTGTTGCTTCAAGCGCATCATTCTGCGCTCGAGATGCGCATAAGCGCTGTGTGCCGCATTGTATGAGTCTTTCATAATTAGGCTATATCATAATACTTTGTTTTGCGCAATGAAAAATTATTAATAGCTTTTTTTGTTCTGTTCTGTCCTATCTATCATATGTTGCTGCCTCATTAAATAGCTGTGCTATACACTTAAAAATGTCTTAATTTTATAGTAGACTATATATAATAATTGATCTTTCTGAATTTTATCTTGTTTTTCATGAATGTATTTTACAACAATACAAATAGCAATATGTAACGTTTTACTTGATTTAGTGCTACACTTATTGTCTCTGTTCCCCCACTAAATGTTTTTTTCACTAAATGTTCAGATTTTATACAATTATTGTTTTTCTAGGCCAAATTTTACTGAGTTATCCACTAATCTAGTTTATAATATAATTTTTGTCATAGGTTATGATCATATATATTTTTTGATTTGTTGTTTTTATTTATAATGAAGTTGTCTGTATTAAGTAGATTGTGTTTAACACACAAAAGAGTGATTATCAGTTCAACAGAGTTATAGAAATTCTACTTGATTTAAAAAAAAAACTGCGCTGGTATTGGACCGGTATCGGTTGATACTCCGAATTTTTGGTATCGGATTAGATCGGTTCAGAAAAAATTATATCGGGACATCCCTAATATTTTCTGGTAGGCTATATCTAAGTTACCCAGGAGCTCTGTTGACATAGGCTTAGCTTGATGAATTGAGTCGTTGAACACAGCAGGAGAGAACGCAACGTTAGCCAGCCAGCTAATTATTATTATTATTATTAGCTATATAAATTATTAGCTAACGCTACGGAGGCCATAATACTTTTGACTCATGGCTGAAGTTAAGTTTCTCCAGCTCTCCAGGTTGGCAAAAAATGCATCTCAAAATGCATTAGATTGATGCTTTAAAATATGGAATATTTAAAATTTTCTTCCGGGGGAGCATGCACCCAGATCCCCCTAGAGGGGTAATATCCTTCTCAACTTTTTCACCCCTGACCCGTTTTCATGCCTGCTATAGTTCCTTTTCCAGACTTATAAAAGCAGACTGTTGGACTGATTTGTGTGTGTGTGTGTGTATAGATAGTTAAAGCTCCTGTAGGTAACTTTTGAAAACATGTATTTGCTAAAACTGTCATTATGTCCTGACAGTAGAATATGAGACGGATAATCTGTGTAAAAATCAAGCTCCTCTGGCTCCTCCCAGTGGTCCTATTGCCATTTGCAAGAAATACACGCTCCCGGTCAGAAACAACCAATCAGAGCCAGGAGGAGTGTCTTAGCAGTGTCAATCACGCTCGTGTACGCGCTGATCACACCCCTCTCTTGCACAGCGCGAGCGCCGGAGCGCGAGCCGTCGTTCAAACTCAAGATTGCTGGCGTGCTGCAGCTGTGCTTATGACGGAGAAACAACCTAAACTGCTAATTCTCGAGTGACACCTGCTCATAAAACAAAGAGGTAAAAGGAAAAAGACTGATGACGATAAACAAGCGAAAAAGAAAGAATTACACAGAGTCCATTGATTCAGTGTCAAAACTCTAGCTGCATAACATGTAGATAAAATGTCACGCACTCTGCTAAGCAACAATTGAAACCTGCTAATTCACTGGCTTGTCATGTTGCTGAAATAATGTACTAGCACACCTTATCTAGCATTATATATCGCTAGAATAATTACTTGCATACTGTAACGTTAGTTACCGTTATATTAACTAGCTATTTATAACTTATAGAAAGAGTGCAACGTTATAAGTTACATGTAGGCTATTGGAAAATACATAATGATTTGAGGACCAAGTTTGTAGTCAAAGTATGGGCAGGCCATAGTCAATGTAAAGCATATTATTGACGTTTAGTCCCTATTAGTGAATGTGCCATATAACTTTTTATCCGCCGTCATCGGTGGCCCTGTTTACTAGCCTGCGCGTTCACGGCAGGCTCCGCTGTGGAGGACGAGCTGTGGAGGGAGGGCTGTAGCGCAGCAGAGAGCAAGGGGGTGGGACCTGTAAGTTGTGCTTGTTCAAATTTTCAGGCTAAGTCAACGTTTTCTTAATTCCCTACTGCAGCTTTAAATAGATATAGATAAATATCTATATACACAGTATATATCTATTTTATATTCATTTTTTTAATATTATTTAATATTCATGTATTATTTATTTGTGTTTCTGTGAATAGCTGTTACAGTTCTACAAATAAAGCATTCTATCTTTTTACCTATCAATTAAATTAGCTACAAAAAATGCACCTGAATGCACGAAATTAAGGCTGCGTTCCAAACCGCATACTCAATGAGTAGGTGCTTAATTTCAATAAGTACTTACTCAACGAGCGCGAAAAGAGTAGGTACTTCATAGCCAAATCTCGTTGAGTATGAATGCGATCCGGACATCATACGCCATGTTGACGTTATCATGTGACCTATGACGTTATCACAAGCGCAACAATTTAAAAGTTATGAGCAACAGGTGCACCACCGACATCTCACTGCATCAGTACAACCTAACTAGAACTGTTTTCATCAGCGTCTGAAATGGTTGGCATGTCTGCAATAGCTAGACGAATGTGTGGACAAAGGAGACGTCGGGCTGCTGCTCGGAGATCTCGCCTTTGGAGAAGACTGATGATTTTATACTCAAACAAAGCAAGTATTACTACTTAAAAAATTAAGATTACCCCAGAATGAATTGCATTACTAGCCCACCCCAACACTTATGCACAATAATGACAAATGCTGACCAGCACTTAATTATATAACATTTTCTTAATTAAAATGATATATTTTGGTAAAACAAGCAAACTGTTGTATTGTCATATGACAGATGTATGAATACACACTAGACAAATGCAGCTGATGTGAATACATACAATTTCCTTCAAGCAATGATTAATGCAAGAATTAATGAAATGAATATTTTATTGAAACATGAATAAATATTTAATATGAAACATGAATAAAAATAAATGAATGAATAAAAGATATCATATCACTATAAAGAAATACATATACAAGTCAATACCATATGAAACATTGCTTAATTCAAGCTTTTTGTTCTAACAAACTATGATGTATTTACAGGCGGTGAACCCCACATCATACTGCCATCTCAATAGAGCGGTTCCCATTCTGCGGCTTTATCTTGATGAAGCAGCCGACCACCGTGCCCACCTTCGCCTGTCTCTGCCGTCCATCAGGTCCCTGATTGCTGCAGTCAGACTGGGATCTGACCATGGATGGGAACGGGAGATTGAGGTCCTTGTGTTCCTGCACTGGCTGGCCCATGCAGCATCCTACAGGGTGGTGTCGCAGGCCTTCGACATCCCAAAGACCTCTGTGTATAACATTGACCGGAGATGACCTGGAGGCAGTGGGAGCAGGATTTGCACAGCTGTCTGGGTCACCAGCTTTCAGCAGAGCAGTTGGTGCAATAGACGGCTGTCATATCCGTATCAAACCTCCAGCAAATAACTCCCACTGTTACTTCAACAGAAAGCTGTTTCACTCCATCCAACTCCAGGCCATCACTGATCACCGGGGGAAATTCCTTGATGTGTTTGTGGGGTATCCTGGGTCTGTGCACGATGCCAGGGTGCTGAGGAACAGTCCAGTGTATGCTGGCAGTGTATATCCACCTGCAGGCAAGTGCATCCTCGGGGATGGAGGCTATCCTTGCCTGAGTGCCCCCATCTGCCTCATCACCCCGTACAGAGAGCCAGTACAGAACCCTGTGCAGGCGCGTTTCAACAGCAAGCACTCCCGTGCCCGCAACATCGTGGAGAGAGCGTTTGGGATGCTGAAGACACGCTGGCGCTGTATCTTCTTCAAGGCCTTGGAGGTGAGCCCTGCCTTCGTGCCTGAGGTTGTTGCGTGCTGCGCTGTGCTTCACAATCTCGCTCTAGCCAATGGGGACATCGTTGAGCCAGAGGATGAGGAAGACCATGATGACGGCCCCCCTGATCCCCACAACCTTGCAGCAAGAGTGGGAGAACAAGTGCGGGACAATCTGGCTGCTGCAGTGTCTGCTCCAAACATCCCTGTGCCTGCTCTCCATGAGCACGACTACCTTTAAAACATTAAGAAAGATAAAAATGTTTTAAAATTCATGTTGTCAGCATTCAGTTTCTTGACAAATGTCATTTTATAGGTTTACAATTACATGCGAATATTTGTTAGAGCTTTAAAACCTTTTGTAGTGTAGAGGGATAAACCAATGAACTGGTTAAGTCAAGTCAAGTCAAGTCATCTTCATTTATATAGCGCTTTTAACAATGGAGATTGTTTCAAAGCAGCTTTACAGAGATAAACATACAATTTACGGTAACAGAGATTGTTTTGGCTTTATAGCGATTTTTGAATAATGTTATTTCCAGCTAAAGTTGGTTTTGATTGATTCACTTCCCGCAAAAGTATCATTTGTTATTACATTAGGGGCCACTAAGACGACGGCGTTCTCTCTAAACAGACTTTAAACACGAACCTGTGACCGGATGGCGTTCACATGCGCATTAAAAATTGATTCTATAGTTAAATTCTATAGTTAAATTCGTTTGAATATGTGTGCGCAGGTTTGTAATTTCCCAACAAACCATGCCTAAACAAACTACTTGTCTTGCCTATAAATTTGATACAGAATTTTATTTTATCACTTCGAGGTACGCAAACCGGATTTCCAACAACGCTTTATCTGTAGAGTGGGAAAGGGATCCTCCATAGGGAGAGGATAGTGGACACTTCAGCACTGCATTGTCATCGGGTCCAGGCGAAACTCCTTCGTCAGATCTGATAAAGGTTAGAAGAAGATTGCTGGTCAATCAGCAAGGCTCTTTAGTCCAGGTTTGTCCAGGGTCATTGTCCCTGTAAATAAATGGAGTTAATCACTTTTGATAAAAAATATGTCAAATGCATAAATGTGATTGATATTTGTAAAGCATTTTTTGAACCAGTCATGGGCATAAACAGTCAAAGCTGCTTAGTTTGTCAAGGAATTACTATAATGCAAAATGCATACATAAATTTACTACAATTTATATTTGGTGGGTTAAAGGGTTAGTTCACCTCAACATATAAATACAGCAATTGTTTACGGTTTACTATTTACTTATTTAATGTTTTTTATTGTTTAAATACAAAAGGGAATTTTTGTCAAGTTTGTTCTGCTGGTTTCATACAATATCAGTCAATGGAGCCCAACTTTCAGAAGCTTCCTGGCATTATTTAATGACGCTTCTGAAAGTCCATTGACTGATATTGTATTAAACCAAACAGTACAAACCTGACCAAAATCACCTTTTGTGTTCAGGAAAACAAAAAACAGAGGGATCAAACAACATCAAGGCGAGTAAATAATGACTATTGAATTATTACTATTATGATTTATTTGCTTGGGTTAAGTAACCCTTTAGTCACTATTTTACTGTGTGTAATTTGTGTAAACAGTCTCAAGTTCAGCTTTGGTCATGGAGGGCTATTATCCAGCAGAGTTTTTCCAACCCTAATTATACACCCCTGAATCAATTTAAACCAATTAATAACTGACTACTTGAAATTTACTGACAGGTGTGCTGGAACTGAACCCTCCATGACCTGCCTTTAAGATCCTTGCATGAACTCTGTAAACCTTTAAAAGTCATATAATACACTCCAGTAAAACCAGTGTTTTAAAGTGTTTTTTCTTCTTACACTACACCATACATTCACTAATTATTAATCAACGTTTCATAAATATTTAATTTATGAATTTGATTACAATCTTAAAGTATCACTAAATTTCTAGAAGTCTATAATGTACTGTGAATGCCTAGAAATAGTTTGTTTTATATACATATTATTGTACAAAATTCTTAGGCCACCATTTGTAGTTGTTGCACATGTGGCGGGCAGTACAAGACAGGGAGGATAGAGAGAGAGTAAGAGAGAGAGACAGAAAGAAAAATCGACTACGCCACCCTGGTCGCTAAGCCAGGGAAGTGTGCTATTAAAGACACACAGGTTCGATGTTTCCCTTACATAAATACTCCGAGACGTGGATATGGAAAAATACAAAAATATATTCTTTATTTAGACAAATATAAAATACTGGCGTGCCAGTCAGTTAGGTTCAATTATAACAACACACAATAAACAGCTCACAGGACTCGTGGTCACCCGAAGCAGGACGAGCTAGTGCCAGACGTCGCTAGATGGTAAAAGAGCACCCACACGTGCACTACACGTCACTCAAATCACGTCAACCAAGACCAATCACTATGGATTGCAGACCACACACTGTGTCTCAGGACCCGCCACCTTAATTGGACAACTAGCCCTCCTGCTCCGGGCTCACAGTGCCTGAAACACAAGAAATAAAGAATTACAAAAAATTAAATCAAAGCAAATAAATCAAACAATTATCCTCACCTATGGGTACCCATATACAGGACACAACATGCGAGACATACAATAATATACGTAACTAAAAGGAAAACACTCCGCAATCCACTCAAACCTGCACTCATCAGTGTCAGTGATGGTGAATGGATCGCTACGGGCCAACAGGAACAATCTCCCCAGGCCGGTTACCACTCACAATCCCTCTTTCCCTTGGGACCAGTCGGGGATAATCTCACAGTGAGCAAAGAAAATAAACAGTAATTATAATACAAATAAAGCACAAAACAACACCCAAAACTAAGAAAACAAAACACCAATTACCAAGCAAGCAAAATAACTCAAACAAAAACATTAATAGGAACAGAACAGCAGCGACGACAAGTCCTAGAGCAGGCAAGTGTAGTCTTCAAGTGCCCTTAAAACGGCAGATCGATCCACCTGCAAAAGCCGGACTATGAGCTAAAATATGCGGTTACCACTCACAATCCCTCTTTCCCTTGGGACCAGTCGGGGATAATCTCACAGTGAGCAAAGAAAATAAACAGTAATTATAATACAAATAAAGCACAAAACAACACCCAAAACTAAGAAAACAAAACACCAATTACCAAGCAAGCAAAATAACTCAAACAAAAACATTAATAGGAACAGAACAGCAGCGACGACAAGTCCTAGAGCAGGCAAGTGTAGTCTTCAAGTGCCCTTAAAACGGCAGATCGATCCACCTGCAAAAGCCGGACTATGAGCTAAAATATGCATAGCATTAATTTACTGTTGTACAATTGATCGCACATACCAAACATGCGGAGATCGCGCCACTCGCCCAGTCGACAAGAGATGAAAAAGCCCAATGATACGCTGGAATACACAGACCCCATAATATTAACTATTCGCTCATTAATTAAATACAGCCAAAAGGGCCAAAGAGAGACCTACCAGGAAGTCAAGCAGCAATACACCCCCGATGCTGAATGCAATTCATACCGAAGCGGTGGTATCCGGAAAACAGCGCGTGTTGCCAGGCATGCAACCCTCAGCACAACGTGTGCTTTTCTGCGAACAGCCCAGAACCTGACAAAAGTAACACTCAATCTAATGTTCATTAGGCTCAAGCATAAAAACCAGCCGCCACACTCACCTCAGCCAGAGCACCAGACAGTCGCAACAATAATGACGTGCTAGAACGCGGTCGCACATTCACGCAATCTCCGGTGACAACACCGCCACCTTAATATACCCCTTGGAAGGAATTACCATAATTATTATCAATGAATTGAATGCTGATCACCTGCGTGCATCTAGGGCGGAGTCTCACTCTACAGAGAGGACGTCAACAAACAGCGGCACTTCACTACACACAGTACTGTGTGTATCTATATATAGATTCCCATTTTTATTCACAAATTTAATTCACATCAACCCAAATGTGCAAAAGATCAGAAGATGTTTTTTGTCAAATAATTTATTTTTTGGCGAGCATCTGAAGAACAGAAAGGAACCTTTCATCCCTTTCGTTGGTTTCTCTTTCTCTCCTTTCCTCTCTCTCGACTGCCTCCCGGTGCCATCTCTCTTCTCTTTCTCTTACTTCTCTTTCTTGTCTTTCCTCTCTCTCTCGTCTCTCCCGTTCTCTTCTGTCCTCCTTCTCCTCCATTTCTCTCCACAGTCTCTCCTCCCTCTCAGCTGCCTTCCGCTCTCTCTCCTCTTCTCGCTCCTCCATGTCCCGGATCAGCTCCTCCACATCTATAGCCCTTTTCCTGGCTCTTGCTGGCTCTGGCCTCACTGAGGATGAAGAGACCACAGCAGCATCCGGCCCACATGAGGCAACGAGGGCAGGAGGAGAGATGGAGGGTCTGCCCCCAATTGCCTCATCCATGGCAGTGTACCACTTCCAGGACGCTGCTGTGACCCCTCCATCCTCAGTGCTCACCCCCGTCTGCGGACATTTCAGATCCTGCAAAAATGCACAAGCATGATACAAAAGCAGTCATTTTAACAGCACAATATTTAATCATTTCATTTATGTATTAGAAGTAACAAAATGATCTTACTTTGTATTTTTGTTTCAGGTTTTCCCTTTTTTTTTTTAACAAACGCCGCCGTCACCCTGCCTTGCAGGCTCTGCTCCTCCACAAAAGATCTGCAGCAAGAGAGAAATCAAGAATGAAAAAGTTATATCTCTGATATAGAGTAGAAGTAGTAGTTACCAAAAGCGGGGGTGGGTGGGTGGTGGGGCCAGCTGAACGCAGGGTACAAAGGTCCAACGGCTATCGTCACTGTCCACAGTTGTCCAACCTATCCAATATCGCCTCAACGCTGAACATGGCTAATATTTCAGCACTAGACTGCGTTTGATTGGCGAATCGAATGCTGGGCGTGGTGCCCCCAGCCCCCCCGGTCACCTGAATGCCTTCGGTTCGTTCGCAGGACCTTGTTTTGATTTTTAATATTTTTTTGGTGTTTTAGGGTTGACCTCATCACATATGCACCGCGAATATACCCCAATATTTTTTGCCAATTTCTCAGTTTCCGTTCACGTTAGAAAGTCGGTTGTTCTCGTCTTCCCAAGCCGGTTTCGACGATGCCAGAATATTATGAAAATCTCAAAGTGCCAATTATGCTATTTCCATAATTGTGCACAATAGACACATAAGCGCACTAGCTTGGCCTTGTTTTGTGCGTTCTACCATGTTCTCCACTGCACACTTATGTATCGTCCAACCTAAAATAGGGGTTATCCTAGCCTGTACAGCCTCGTACATTTTTGGACTAAATATCGGCCCGCTCAGAAAACCACCTTATACTGCAATGATTATTATTATTAGCTGTCCCTCTTGGCTAGATTAATGTGTTTGGGCTTGATGGAAAGTGGAGATTCAGGGCTAGGATTTGATGTAGCACAACTAAAGATCTGAGTCTCCTGGACTGAACAGCCTGGTTAATATTTGGACTAAATATCGGTGCGCTCAGAAAACCACCTTATTTGGCTATACTGTAATGATTGTTATTAGCTGTCCCTTTTGGCTAGATTAATGTGTTTGGGCTTGATGGAAACTACACATGGTAAGCTTTAATCTGATACAAAACAAGTGAAAATATATGGAGATTTGGCTCATTGACAACCATTTTTGAGATTTTGACCTTTTGGCCTACATCCGGAGTAAGGGCAAAACTCATGTTAAAGTGCAAAACATGAGCTTTCCAATGATGTAAGGCTGACTCTGATTGGACTTTGTTTTATTGAACAAAAAAGAAAATCGTACAGGCCGCTTTACCAAACATCTGAAGCCATTCACTGACCTCCGCCCTCAAACAGGCTCAACTCTACCTCTTGTCTTTCACTGAATGAAAAAGATACAGTAAAGCCATTAATATATTTGCAAACTGCAAATGATAAGCTTTAAAGGTGACCTATAATTCAAAATTGAATTTACCTTGGTATAGTCAAATAACAAGAGTTCAGTGGATGGACATGACATAGAGTGAATCTCAAACTGGACTGTTTTCGCGTTCTCATTTAATTCACGTTTATGAAAAAAACCCTGAAAAACGGTCGGTTCTCCACACAATACCGACTGTGACGCAATAGTCGGGATCATTAATATGTACGCCTCCAAATATTTGCATAATGCCAGCCCTCAATCCCAGGCGGAACTGCGCAGCCGAAGCATGGCAGTTGCTCAGTGTGGATGTACACATGAACACAAAAGTATTTTTTAGTTCCTTCATCTGAGCCTCTGAAGAAACAATGGGTTAATTTTATTTTCTCTGGAAATTTCCAAACATTTCACCGACTGTTTCCTCAACTTGGGCCAATACAGAGCTGGCCTCGGATCGAGCTACCAAGCAACACTTTCTGATGTGTAATTGTTCAAGTTCAGACAGGTAATCTTTCTCTCAAAATCGTTCAATACTGTTTATGCATCAGTAAGTTAAGCCAGTGACTAAAATATCAGCTTCACATCGTTTCTTTTAGTAGGATGAAAATAATCGTATTTAAATTGTGAACAAATTATATACAGAAAGCGATCAAAGAACAATCTTTCCACACAGCGCGAGTTTATCTGGACACTTGCCAAACTCGTTATGAAATCAATGACGCACGTTACTGCACAACGAAGCTCTTACTGTATTTACATCATCGTGTTTGCATTGGTGAAAGCATTAGAGAGAGTGCAGAAACTGCTTTGCAATGATAAGATCTTCATTCTCGCGATCAACACACTGTCATCTGCTCAATGCTCATCACGGCAACATTTTATGTGATGGGAATAGATCTAAATACTTTAAAAACATCTCACGATTCGTTAATCTCGATAGCTGTTATAGTAAAAACGTATAATAGCAGTAGTAAAAGTATTCGGGAGAGAGTTTCACATATAATGTGTAGCTATTTTATATGCAAGCATGTCAGCCAATCACAGCAGTGGCCGCGGTTACACTAAATCCCACAGCAGACACGCCCCTTCAAACAGAGTGTTCAAATCAGAGGCTAAAAGCAGGCTAGGAAAAATGCCATTTATTTCTAAATTATGATTATTTTTTATCTAAAAAACATACTAACATTATAAGGGTAACCCAGGAAACATTATAAAATTAAAAAAAAAAAAACATTCTAGGGCACCTTTAATTTGATACAAAACAAGTGAAAAAACAAAACAAATTTGGCTGAAATACTTACCTGACCCCTGTTCTTTCGGCCTGTGAACAACGCACAATATGAAACACTCTCTGATTGGACTTTGTTTTAATGATCAATAAATAAATTCATACAGGCCACTGGACCCAACATGTTTTAATTGAGACCAGGATAATATTCTCCCCAGGGGATTATTTTTAACCTGGTCTCAAATAAATGCAGCTATGAACCACTGGACAGTGCCGGCTGCCAGTGGCCGAAACAGCACATCTTTGAGCTGTTCTCTTTCCCTCTCTGACCAAGACACCGCCTAATCAGTATTGGTATTGTGAAGTACAATACTCCCCTTTTAATACGATGCAAAAAGCATAAAGAACGCTTGAAATTTGAGTTAGTTATAGAGATTTTGCTCAAGTGTACACTGTTTTATATATTCTTATTCCTTTTATTTTAATTCCGTCTGTACTTTTATTCTATTTTTTTTTTATAAACTGTCTTATATAGTATATATTTTTAATTTCTAGTGATGGGCGATACTGCAAATTTCTGTATCGATCCGATACCAAGTAAATACAGGGCCAGTATCGCCGATATCGATACCGATACCGATACTTTTTCATTTTAAAAGCATGCATTTGAACTTGTATGCACTTTCCTGTGCTAGAGCAGTGTGTCATGATTTATGAGGTGAATGCATCATTAATATGCTAAATCTGAACACGTTTTCATGACTACTAGTCCTATTTTGTGATTTGTGCTCTCAACTCCCCTTTAATTAGTCAGTGACTTTTACAAAACTACCCTAATTATAGTACTAGCCTACTAGTACTAGCCTACTGTTCAAAAGTTTGGGGTCTGTAAGATTTTTATTTCTCTTAGTAAAAACTGTAATATTACAATTTAACAATTTAACATAGGCTATCTGTTTTCTATGCCATAGTAAACTGTAATTTATTCATGTGATCAAGGCTGAATTTTTGGCATCATTACTCCAGTCATGATGATAATTCATTTTAATATGCTGATTTGCTGCTCAGGAAACATTTCTTATTATTATCAATGTTGAAAACAGTTTCATATTTTGTCGGAAACTATGAAAACATTTTATGCAGAATTATTTGATGAACAAAGTTGAAAGAACAGCATTTATATGAAGTAGATTTTTTTAACAGTGTAAAACCCTTGACTGTCACTTTTGATCAACTTAATGCATCGATCCTTGTTGAATAAAAATATTAATTTCATAAAAAAGATCTTACTGACGTCAACATTTTAAATCGTTATGTACAGTTTTGGTTTGTTTATTGCGAAATAACTCCCGATTGTTTCTCTGTCATCTAAGCAAGGCTTTGTTTCCCAAACGCACTGGGCATGTGAGCTCAGCACAGCACCAGCAGCGAACGCTCTCTGTGATTGATTGGTTTCGTCTTGTATACAGATGACTAGGAGAAAAGGTTCTATCCTACACAATTACCTGCTAACATTCGCTTATTTTTCGCACTGAATTGCGTGCTAAATTAATAAAAAATTACTGGTAAAAAAAATACACATTTGGATCGATATTTTTATGTGAGGATCGATCCTTTTTGATACCACGTCAGTATCGAAGTATCGATACTTTAGGATCGATCCACCCATCACTATTAATTTCATCTATGTAAAGCACTTTGAATTACCAATGTGTATGAAATGTGCTATTGTGCTTTTTACAATACAGATTGTTTCAAAACCTTATTTGTTTCATGAATTCACAACTTTAACCCTTAGGGGACCCCAGGGTGTTTTTGGGGCCCTTAGGATGTTTTGACAAGCACTAACATTTGTGCTTTTTTCAGTTATTTATAAACATGTTAATGGCAAAGGTGTAAATTCACTCTATATAGTGCATACGGGGCTACCATAATATATGAGCAACATGTATGTACATGTTTGTATTTTTAAGAGAATATTGTTTATGCGTGGTTATTGAACAAAATAAAAATGAAAGTTGCTGAAATAAGACCACAAAACACATACTAAATATGTGTCCACAAGACTTTTGACTAATGGATGTTGTCGCTTCGAGTTCTGGCTTCAAAATGATGTGAAAACCATCCTGCCTTATTGTTCACATAAAGCAAAACATGAATTCATACTTTGTATGACAGTTTTTTGGTCAGAAGAGGTTTATGCGAGGGGGTGTTAATGGCTATCAATATTAATGAGATTCAGACCAGGGGTGTGACAGACACTCTCCCAATGGCTAATGGCCCATCAAGTGAGGCAGCCTGAACCAAGAATGAGAGGAGATTCAAAGGTTTTTCAATCTGTTTTATTGTAATTCCTCAATATGGAGAAACTAAATGTTCTAAATTTGCTCTAAGCAAATCAAATGTGAGTAAAATAAATAAATAATCAGTCGGCTATAAACAAAGCAATTGTGAAGTCATACAGGCTCATATTGTACTAAGTATAAACAAAATTGAACTAACATCTGTAAAATTGTAGGTAAATAT